TATTATGAGAGATTTTCTACGTCGTCGATTAGGTAATTATATTTTCAGTCAAGAGTGAATAGTAGCGGAGGTCCTCTGACTTTGGTGGCACCGCCACTTTTAGTCCTTAACTTTTAAATCAATCACTCTTAGTCCTCTTACTTTTTGTTTCTAGCCATCTATGGTCCTTCCGTTAAACTTGACCATCTAATGCCGTTTTCTCAAGGATAATTCAGTCCTTTCATAATTAATTTATTAATTATTGTGTTTGCTGAGTCATATCGTGATATCCGACGTCGTTTTGGCATAACCTTCATACCAACTTTTGTACGTCATTTTGATTGACGAGCTGGTTTTGTACACGTTCATAGTTGAGGAAACCATTGTTTGACTATTCTGATGAGGAAATTAAGCATAATAATTAATAAATTAATTATGAAAGGACTTAATTATCTTTCAGAAAACAGCATTAGATGGTCAAGTTTAACGAACGGACCATAGATGGCTAGAAACAAAAGTAAGAGGACTAAAAGTGATTGATTTAAAAGTTGAGGACTAAAATTGGCTTTGCCACCAAAGTCAGAGTACCTCCGCCGGTATTTACTCTTTCAGTCAATTATGCTCCACCAATCTGTATGCGATGAGTTCGACTATTCAGTTTAGAAAATGATAGAGCATTTAGTTCAATTGTGAATTTGTGATGCACACTAGGATGCTGAATAGTGAGCTCAAGCTCAAGAGCATTCCATACAAACCTGATTGCACCATTGCCTAAGGCGAGGTGGCTCCTGTTATAATGTGGAATGCTCTGTGAATACTATTGAGTTACTCATATTAGAAATTATTTAGTACTAGGCTATTCATATTTTGTGATTTAATCCAATATCTTGTGGCTTCAACCTACTATTTCTTCACACTTTTGGGATTGCTTATACCAAATACACAATTTATCTTAGATTGTTAGCCATAGGTAAAAAGTAAGCTACAATATATTTCCTTTTTCAGCAAATTGCAATAAAAACTTATTTTAGTAATAATTTATGCAAACAAGTTATTGAAATTTGAAATGGCTTAATAAAAACCAAAGTTATTAGCCCAAGTTGTTCCTCCTAGTTCTATTTGGGTTATCAGTTGTAGTGATTTCAAATTAGCTTGTTCTTTTTTTTAAATATATATAATTATGAGTAACAGTTTGTGACGAAGGAAAATTATATCATTGGCCACAGATCATTAAGCTTGTTGAGCACTTGTTTTTTCAGTGAATGCTCATCATTGTAATGTTCAATGTTGTAGAACTAAATCTCCATAGAAATGCAATTGTGAGCCATGGCTTTCCTAGTATGCCAAGTTATATGTCCCCTGGGGTTCTTGTACAGCAATGGAGTTTTGACAGTTTCTTGTTGGAATCTAATGAGCTATGGAGCATCACATTAAGGAAGAAAGAAATATTCTGGTCGATTGAAAGCTCCAAAGTTTTACAGAGATCAGCATAGTGTTTTTGTTACATAAAAAAAAAAAGGAAAAACAAAGCTTTTAAACTAAACTGCAGGGAAAGACAGTTATAACTAACTGATGCTAAAGGACACAAATGCCCTTAAAGCTATGAGAGAACTCAAGCTGTTCTGCTGTGTGCATCCACTATGCTCATCACATTCCCCCCCCCCCCCCCCCCCCCCGCCGGTAAGATGGAGTATGAAGATCCTGAAGGCCCAGCTTAGCATGAAAAATATCAAACAAAGGGATAGGCAAAGCCTTAGTGAATCCATCTGCTAGTTGTTTATTTGAATGAATGCTCACCAGTTTCACCACTCCTTCCACTCCTTCTTACACCTTTTGCCTCACTCACTCAATGTGCTTAGTACGTTCATGGAACACATAATTTTTCCCTATAGCCACAGCTGAGTTGTTATCACAAAATAGAGCATTGGGATTTTTTTCAAATCTGCCATCAAGTACAACAGCCACTGAAGCTCACAGGCAGTGGAAGCCAAAGCCCTATAATTTGCTTCAGATGAGGACCTGGACACAGTGGCTTGCTTCTTAGTCTTCCAAGATATAAGGGACTCCCCAAGGTAAATACAGTAGCCTGTAATGGACTTCCTAGTTTAAGGCTGGATTTTGAGGAATAGAAGAGTCCTTTTCCAGTAGAACCTTTGAGATATCTCAGTATTCTATGTGTTGCTGCTAAATGTGAGTCTCTTGGCTTATTAATTAACAAACTGGCTGAGCTGCTGAACACTGTAAGAGATGCCATGCCTTGTGTTGGTCAAATATAGTAGCCTCCCAACTAACCTTCTAAAGTTTTCAGGATTATCCCCTAGTAGTGTGCCTTCAGTATTGTTGAGTCTTGAGCCTGGAGTGCAGGGAGTTTTAGCAGGTTTAGCATCTAAGAAACCGTTTTCCTTTATGATTTACAAAGTATACTTCCTTTGATAGAGACTAATGCCATTAGGATTCCTGAATGCTTCAATTCCCAGAAAATAATTCAGGTTGCCAATATCTTTAATTTTGAAGGATGTATCTAGCATATGCTTTAATCCTTTGATCTGATCAGGATCTGTACCTGCCACCAATATATCATCAACATACACAAGTAATGCAACAAAAGAACTATCTGAAGTTTTGGTGAACAAAGATGGATCAGCTATGGACTGTTGAAAACCATGAGCTTGTAGAGCTTTTGTTAACTTTACATTCCATTGCCTGTTAGCCTGTTTTAAACCATATAGGGATCTTAACAGTTTACACACTTGATTGGGCCCATCTCTTTTAAAACCTGGGGCAAAACCATATAAACTTCGTCATTCAAGTCACCATGTAGAAAGGCGTTGTTGATGTCAAGCTGCTGAATATCCTAGCCCTTTGCAACAGCCAGAGCTAGGAAGGTTTTAATGGTTATCATTCTTGCTACAGGAGAAAAAGTGTCAATGTAATCAACTCTTGACTTTTAAGTGTATCCCTTAGAGCCCATGTGTTGTTCTGAATCAAGGCATCAATTTCAGATTGCATGGCCTCTTTCAACTCATTATGTTGTACTGCTTCATGATAAGATTGTGGTTCATGTGTTGAAGTAATAGATGAAACATAGGATTTTTTGTTAGGGGGAAAGTTCTCACAGGAAATGAAATTCTCTATGGGATGAGGAGAGGATCTCAAAGTGGATTTATCTTCCACCATGGAATGGCAATAGTAGTCACTCAGTTTCGAAGGAATAGCTCTTGTCCTTGCTGAACTTCTAAGTTCTGGTTGACTATCATGTTGTTGTGGAACATTGATGTCTAAGTGAAGGGCATTTGCCATGTTACTGTATGGTTCATCTCTATCAGTGGCTGCCTGATTAATTGGCTCAGCATTATAGCTAAAATTTCTGTCATGACAATTCTCATTCTCATCTGTTCTTCTGTTAATGGCATCTGTCATAACTCTGGTATTTTCATTTCTTCTCATGGTCTTCCAGGAAGTTATCTCTGCATCAGCAGAAATAGGAATCGTGGGAAGGGATGGATTGAGCTTATCATTATCGCAAATGTAGTTTTATCATCAAGATCAAACCTTTCACATTGGCTGGAAATCCCAGAAAAACACATTTCCTTGCTTTTGATTGCATTTTATTTCTTCACTGTGAAACAGTAGTACCAAAACTCAAACAGCCAAAAATTCTGAGTTGGCCGTAATCTATATTTTTCCCTGTTAACACCTTGAAAGGAGTATTTCCATTAAGAACCTCTGTGAGCAGCCCGTTGGTAAGATAAGAGACATGTAGAACACAATGGCCCCAGAATTCCATAGGCAAACCAGATAAAAATCTCAAAGCCCTAGCCACTTTTTTGATATGTTTATGCTTCCTTTCTGCCACCCCATTATGCTGGGGTGTGTAAACACAGGATTTCTGATGGATAATTCCCTTCTCATTATAAAAGGAATTCATAGGAACTCATTTCCATTATCAGTTCTCACAGTTTTGATCTTAGCAGAAAATTGAGTGCACACAAAATTGTAGAAATTCTGGAAGATAGACTTAACTTCTTACTTACTTTTCATCATACGCAACCAAGTAAATCTACTGTGATCATCAACAATTGTTAGGAAATAATGTTCACCTTGGCGAGATGCCACAGCAAAGGGCCCCATACATCCATATGTATTAGCTCAAAACAATGATCAGTTCTGGAAATGCTAACTGGGAAGGTGGACCTTTTGTGTTTAGAAAAATGACAGGCATCACATACAAAATCACAATGTTTCTTATTAGAATCAATCTTTATTCCATTCAACATAGGAATTTTATTCCTAGGATAGTGTCCTAATCTATTGTGCCAAAGTTCCATAGTGAAACTGTTACATTGAACAATATTCTCAGTCATTGACTGGCTTCTTCTTGGCAGGAGGATCAGTAATTAGGTATAGATCATTCCTCTCACTAGCAAAACCAGCCGTTGTTCCAAGATGTCCCTGGACAGTACAAGAATCGGCTTCTATCACAAGTTTGCATCCCAAGTGCTAGGTTAATTTGCTAGCAGAAATAATATTGAAGGCAAAGGATGGAATATACAACACATTTATCAACAATATGTCCTTGCCAAGACTGATTTTCCCTATGTGTGTCACATTTACAGTTTCACCATTTGGTAATTTAACAGATAATCCCTGAACCTCAGAACATTTTTCAAAATAGTCCAATGAACAAGTTATATGGTCTGTTGCCCCTAAGTCTTGTATCCATGCTATATGTGAATTGTGAACAATATTAACAAGGATGTCATGATTAAAAATACCTTCATCATGAACTTCTGCAGAGCTTTTGAAGTCTAATCTGATCCCAGGGGTGGTGACTGTCACAGCTACACTACTTGAGCCTTGATTTCCATGGCTCTGGTTCTGCAAAGGAGATAACAGCTTTTGGAATTGATCAGTAGACATACATATGTCATTTATTTTGCTCACAGAAGCATTTGATGACTGATGTATTTCTTGGAATGTTTGTTTTTGGATTTGTAGCCTGCAACCCATCCCGGAGGGTATTAATGCTTCTTGTAGAATTTCTCAATTGTGTGACCAAGCATGCCACAAAATGTGCATTTAGGCACATTCTTGCCTCCATTATTAGTGAATTTCCTTCTATTGTTTGATTCTATGACTTCCACAACAGATTCTTCTGATTCAGCCTGATTCTAATTTTTGAAAACTGCATTGGACTGATTAATTTCATTGCATTTTAACATCATTGATCCCCTAATTTCCTTTCAAGCTTCAGGGCCATATTCAACACCTTTTCCATATCTGGAATGGGGTCCATATCCAGAATTCCAGACTTGATAGTCTCATAGTCTTCATTCAAGCCTTCCAAAAACCTGATTATGTAATCTTCTTCCCTCTGCTTTTGCATTCTACTCATGAGAGTGCACAAACATCTAGGTATACAGTCACACATTAGTAAAGATCTTAAAACATTCATTTGTTGCCATAGAGCATTGTTGTAACACCCCTAAAATTTAAAACTTTGAATACTTATGAAATAAACTCTAATTTAAAACTGAGAATAGACTCAACAAGTAAGGGTAGGCACATTCATCAGTTATAATCACGCATATAAGATACTAGCATGCTCCCTAAGGTCACAAGATTATACCACATCAAACATATCAGTATTCAATCATTATCTCAAAACACAAGCACACTTTGGTGGTGCCGCAGGACCAATCACATGCCCATACATGAGGGTCAGTGCAACACGGCCCCAAAGCACCCTGCCTCGTACCGCAGCACGAAGGGGTTGATCGCAACCAACCATGAACCGCAGCTCATTTATAACGTTTGATCGCAACCTAACGGTGGATCGCAGCCCGAATAGTGTGTATTTCAGATCGCAACCAGATTATGAACCGCAACTCATTTAAAACGTTTGATCGCAACCAAATGGTGGACCGCAACCCTATATATATTTATATATCTGACCGATTGCAACCGGCCTGGTTAACAGCCAATGGTTCTGAACCCATTCAACTGCCCGTATAGCCAATTGATCGCAACCAATTGGGGTATCATGCACACATAACACATAGCATGCACATGCAACCCACATTAGCACATAGGGAGGGGGGAAACGTGTATATAAAACTTATGCGTGGTCAACCAAATACTAAGAATATTCCTAAGGGGTTCATACATCTTTCACCTAGGCCAACGGGTTACCAATTCAACTAGCATGCAATACACAAGACTCTTTTATCCTACGAACGGTACCCGATACATCAAACTAGACTTAGGCACGACAAACGGGGTCCAATGGGACACCACGGAACACGGGGAAACATCAAACGGGGCCCCATTTGGTGCAGCGTTAGGTGGTGGGTTCCCCTGTCCCCGCTTACCCCCCACTAACTCTTTCGCAATAAATTGGTCCCGGCATCTTTCGTGGAACCCAAAACCAAGTCCAAACACATTTAAACCCAAACGACAACACCACGTAATCAAGTAATGGGTTAAAACCAAGAATCACATTAAATACATCCTAACATGACTTCTAAACGTAAACAAGACTCAATACCCGAAGATGCAAAATCCAACCCAAATATACCAAGAACATCACAATACGAAATCCACGATTTCACCCAGGGCTCTAATCATATTTAAAGCACAAGATCATAACTTTATCTTTAAAATCAAGAACATCAAGATTATCAAGATCAACACACAATTATCAAGATCCTCTCATAATCATCAAGATTATCAAGATCAACACATAAGATCGTCTCATAAACATCAAGATTATATCATAATCATCATAAAAGCCTTATCAAGACACAAGCATAGAATTGCATATCAAAGGAGCCAATGAAGAAGATTATAGCAAGGAAAATAGGTTTTGTTGAGACATGGGTTACGTCTTAGCCTTAATTAGAATCCTTGGCTACTAAGGTTCTTTTCTCTAAGATCTCCTCTTCTTGATTTCTCCTACGTGTGGTGATAGGGGAATTCTTGGGAATTCTTGTGAGGTGGAATCTATTGTGGTGTGAATTCTAGGTGCCTCCTATGTCCTTATATATATCTCTAAGAGTCCAAATTAGGGTCTGAATGGTAGGGACTTACTAATTCTATTCCTCATAAGACTAAAGGTTGTTTTAGGGATAAGGGTCCATGATTTATGGTGGACCCTTCCTAATTAATTAAGGGAGTTTAATTCTCTTTTAAGGGTGAGTAATTAAATAATTAGTTTGGGTTAGAGGCCGTAACACGGGGTGTTACAATTGCTCTTGGTGAAATATTCGTTAATAGTCAATTTTCCTTGAACACTCTTAAAAATTTCATTATGGATTTCAGAAATCTTGTGAGGATCAGACAGTGAGTACCTCTTTTGTTGCACGCTCCATATATGTGATGCATTGTCAAGGTACATCACGCTTTCTGCAATGTTAGGGTTGATAGATTTCAGCATCCATGAACACACGATCTGATTGCACCTCTTCCATGATGTAAGCTTCGGATCACCAACTTCTGGACATAAAACAATTCCGTCGACAAAATCGAACTTGTTCTTCACTTCTAACGCAATTCTCATGGATCTGCTCCATGATGCGTAGTTAATCTTAGATAGGGATGGCGAAACAAGGCTAAGGTTAGGATTTTTAGCGACGTGAAGATACAACGGATCATTGAACTCATCGTTCCGCTGTTAGACTAAAATATCACATACATCATATAATATGTGATAATAGGACTGACTAACCTCTAGCCATAGCTCTTAACACGGGTGAAGGATCCAGGCAGCTGCAGAGATAACGAGTATTTTGTCTCTCACTTTACGCAGCTCTCTCTAGATGGTGTATGAGGTATGTAATGTGAGCAGTGAGAGGACTAGTGACCTTATATAACCACTGGCCATCATTGTGGTTGTATATCTTTAGGTCTCCTAAACCCTAACTAGACTCCTAAGCATAATGGTAGTCTAGTTATTAGGTTATTAGTGTTGCACCACATATCAAATACTGAATATTATCATAACTTATCCTAATGTTATAATAATAATAACGGATAAACGTTACATCCGCTGCATCTGATTCGCTAAAGTTTCATTCGAAGAAGTTCCCACATGCTCCGCCTGAGTTTCATTCCCCCGCCGTCTGTATTCATCACCACGGCTGCTGCGTATGTCCGGCGAAGCTTTGATACCATGACGAGCTATGGAGCATCACATTAAGGAAGAAAGAGAGATTCTAGTGGATTGAAAGCTCCAAAGTTTTACAGAGATCAGCATAGTGTTTTTGTTAAAAAAAAAAAAAAAAAAAGAAAAAAAAAGAGAAAAAAAAAAAGAGGAAAAAAAAAAAGCTTTTAAACTAAACTACTGGGAAAGCCAATTATGACTAACTGATGGTGAAAGGACACAAATGCCCTTAAAGCTATGAGAGAACTCAAGTTGTTCAGCTGTGTGCATCTACTATGCTCATCAGAATCCAAACCAGGCAAATAGCATATTTAATAAGGCAAAGTAATTTTGACAGACATAGAAACTTACCTCAAACTAAGCTCCAAAATTCAACACCCGATCTAGGCTCAAATCCTAAGCTAGCCATTTTAATAGGAAGCCTATGAATCAATCAAATCTAATCTAGTTTAATATTACTATTACTAATGTTATAACTAACCTTGTTAGTCATGCGCTAGGTGGAAGGGTCGATTACCAACCCTGGCCCCTATCATACCGCACCGCGCAGGGCCATTCTAGGCCATGTCGAACCGGCGCGACCGCACAAGGCCCCCAATTTTTTTAAAAAAATATTATTAGATATAATCTATTATTTTTTTGTACTTGATTATTATTATTTTTTGAATTCATAGATGTGAAATCCAAAGTGTCGAACTCAAGGATGGCAAATTGAAGTAAGCAAAATGCAAGACAATCAATTGTCACAATGTCTCAACAAAAGTGAACTAGGTGCAAGGGGATGGTATAACAACATTATTGATGCAAGCATGGAACGCAAGGAAGTAAATGAAATAAGCAAATACATAAAACGGGGATTTGGAAGGAAAGGATTCATGATCATGCATTCATTGGTCTCAAGGATGACAAGAGATGGTGCAAGGCAAGACTAACCTAAGGGAGAACTATGGCACCAACAATAAGTCACGTAGGACTTAGTCTCTCAAGTCCTAAGTCAGGTGAGGCATTCTAGCAAAATCTAGGTGGGCGGTTTACCTTTTCCTCTCGGGTCAAGTCCTATCGGATCGTACGACGGGAATTGCAAGGGCAAGACTAAGGTGAGTGTAATCTCTTGCAACTCCCCCACTCTCACACTCCTCTTTCATTGGAGCTCTCAATGAAAGAGAATCTATATGCACACCTCTAAAACATCATGCCTCGTCATTTAATCTATACAAAGTATGAATACACAATCACAAATCAAATCCAATCCAAATTCTAGAAGTCTAGCAACTCATCATCATTGATAGATTGAGAACACAAATTGAAGATAACAAATATGGAATTGAAAGCTAAGAAAGATAATGTTACCAAATCTTCAATTTAAATGTGAGATCCAATCTTCAAGAATTGTTGGGCAATGAGTGTCTAGCTAGATCTAACCCTAATCTAGAGAGAAAGTGTGTAAAACTAAGATACAAACCTATCTAATAATGGAAAATGGTGATCTCCCCTGAAATAATCCCCCTACAAGCCATTTAATAGGCTGAAATCTGCAATTTCCGCGAAGTGCAAAATACACGTGCCCGTCCCACACGTGTAGGGAAGATGCGTGGAACTTTCTGCTCTCGACCCACGCACTTTTCCCACGCACGAGGTACGATGCGAGGGTCGGAATTTGCTCTTCTTATCTTCATCAAAGTTGCAGCTCTTGAAGTTGCCGTTCAAATGTCACTTGAATCACCTCAAGATATGCTCCAATCACCGAACTGTTGCCGGAATGCCCTGTAAATAACAATGTTTTGCTCTTTTCTACAAAGGCAACCACAATTAGTACTTACTCCTATCTTTTATCGAAATAGGATGTAATAGGATCAAAGGACTCCTAAATATCCCAGAAAATGTAGCATCACCTAAC